TACCCACTTTCTTGACCTTTTATTGTATATATACCCACTTTCTTGACCTTTTATTGTATATATACCCACTTTCTTGACCTTTTATTGTATATATACCCACTTTCTTGACCTTTTATTGTATATATACCCACTTTGACCTTTTATTGTATATATACCCACTTTCTTGACCTTTTATTGTATATATACCCACTTTCTTGACCTTTTATTGTATATATACCTACTTTCTTGACCTTTTATTGTATATATACCCACTTTCTTGACCTTTTATTGTATATATACCCACTTTGACCTTTTATTGTATATATACCCACTTTCTTGTCCTTTTATTGTATATATACCCACTTTCTTGACCTTTTATTGTATATATACCCACTTTCTTGACCTTTTATTGTATACATACCTACTTTCTTGACGTTTTATTGTATATATACCCACTTTCTTGACCTTTTATTGTATATATACCTACTTTATTGACCTTTTATTGTATATATACCCACTTTCTTGTCCTTTTATTGTATATATACCCACTTTCTTGACCTTTTATTGTATACATACCCACTTTCTTGTCTTTTTATTGTATACATACCCACTTTCTTGACCTTTTATTGTATATATACCCACTTTCTTGACCTTTTATTGTATATATACCCACTTTCTTGACCTTTTATTGTATATATACCCACTTTGACCTTTTATTGTATATATACCCACTTTGACCTTTTATTGTATATATACCCACTTTGACCTTTTATTGTATATATACCCACTTTCTTGACCTTTTATTGTATATATACCCACTTTCTTGACCTTTTATTGTATATATACCCACTTTCTTGACCTTTTATTGTATATATACCCACTTTCTTGACCTTTTATTGTATATATACCCACTTTCTTGACCTTTTATTGTATATATACCCACTTTGACCTTTTATTGTATATATGCCCACTTTCTTGACCTTTTATTGTATATATACCTACTTTCTTGACCTTTTATTGTATATATACCTACTTTCTTGACCTTTTATTGTATATATACCCACTTTCTTGACCTTTTATTGTATATATACCCACTTTCTTGACCTTTTATTGTATATATACCCACTTTCTTGACCTTTTATTGTATATATACCTACTTTCTTGTCCTTTTATTGTATATATACCCACTTTTTTGACCTTTTATTGTATATATACCTACTTTCTTGACCTTTTATTGTATATATACCCACTTTCTTGACCTTTTATTGTATATATACCCACTTTCTTGACCTTTTATTGTATATATACACACTTTGACCTTTTATTGTATATATACCTACTTTTTGACCTTTTATTGTATATATACCCACTTTCTTGTCCTATTATTGTATACATACCCACTTTCTTGACCTTTTATTGTATACATACCCACTTTCTTGTCCTTTTATTGTATATTTTATTGTATATATACTCACTTTCTTGACGTTTTATTGTATATATACCTACTTTCTTGACCTTTTATTGTATATATACCTACTTTCTTGACCTTTTATTGTATATATACCCACTTTCATTACCTTTTATTGTATATATACCCACTTTCATTACCTTTTATTGTATATATACCCACTTTCTTGTTCTTTTATTGTATACATACCTACTTTCTTGTCCTTTTATTGTATATATACCCACTTTCTTGACCTTTTATTGTATATATACTCACTTTCTTGTCCTTTTATTGTATATATACCCACTTTCTTGACCTTTTATTGTATATATACCCACTTTCATTACCTTCTATTGTATATATACCCACTTTCTTGTCCTTTTATTGCATATATACCTACTTTCTTGACTTCTATTGTATATATACCCACTTTCTTGTCCTTTTATTGTATATATACCCACTTTCTTGCCCTTTTATTGTATATATACCCACTTTCTTGACCTTTTATTGTATATATACCTACTTTCTTGACTTCTATTGTATATATACCTACTTTCTTGACTTCTATTGTATATATAAAGTACCTTTCGTAGATGAATACAATGTATTGCCAAACAGTCATCACTTTAATACTTGAACCAAACAACCACAAATGACAGACAAAAATAAGCACAGGTTTGTATAATTTATTTCTGAATCGTTTGAGTAAGTACATGTATCAGAAAGTCTCAATAAAAACTGTTTAGACCTCGGAAACAGACAAAGTAATTGAAACTTTCATAAATTTCTGTTAATTGTATAGTTACATGTTCATATATACTAAATAAAGTTTTCTACTCTACAACCATACCTGTTTAAGGAATGGATTCTGTAATGTGATATGAATCCTCGTGGCAGTACCATCAATTGAAAACTTGGTTGTACCCCAATCATTTGACAGTACTAAAGAGATCGTAACCATGTTACAGGAAGTGAAGCCTTTTGAAAGTTTATTATTGATTAACTTGAAGGAGATAAACAAACTCTCCAACAATATCCATGGATTACCCGTTTCACTACAACAATCAGTATTTAAAGACAAATCTTGGCACTTCCACAATGAGTCTTCATAAATGTTCAAAATCAAGAAAAGAAAATGTTAAATAAAGGACATAATTCAAGATCTAGTATAATTTATTTCATCCCCTTCCCTACTTACTCCGAAAAAAGAAGTAGAAAAGTCACGATTATGTGAAGCTGTGTTGCCATGGTACTGTGTGATCAGTACTAGTGTTTACTTGATTTGTGTGTTGTGTATACAAGTACAAGGAAATCAAATTTGTGATGGAATATAGAAGGGCATGGTAAGGTCAAGGGGGACAGACAGGAAGAAGATGAAATGAAGAAGGGCTGAAGGTTTGATTTAGGAACAAGTCATTGATTTTGGTACTTCTTACACACTTAGATATAAATATTACAAGTGCAGTAATGACAACTGCATCAATAATGAAATTTGTCACATTTTCAAGGCAATCTGCTATTTATCAAGACACTGAACAACTACATACCATTTTGTAAACAAGAATATTATGGAATATGTTTCACCTAAGTGTACAATGAAATGAAGAAAATAAAAAATAAAACTCAGTTTCATGAGCAAAAAACTTGTTTACATATCAAAAAAGAAAAAGGAAATTTTTAATGGAAGATGTGTACAAAATTTCAAGTACCAAGGGATATTACAGGAATTCTTGTAATATCTGAAAAACTACAAAAGTTTTATTCCTGTTCTTTATCCAAATAATGACCACAGTTACATTCTGTTTTGTCCCATTTGGGGGTGGACACCCGAAGATCACTTTAGAGCTTGGCTGAAACTACATGGTTCTTTGATAGTCTGGTATATGTTCATGTCATTTCTTAATAACTTGTGCAGCCTTGAAAATACGACATGATTTCTTTACCTCTTTGGTAGTTATTTATTCTCTGTACATATATCAGTTATATAGCAGCAGGCATTAGACCAAATCTTTCCATTCAGATCCTCACCTGAACTGGACTGCCATTTTTATTCTTATACACAACACATTCAGATATGGATCACTTTCCAAAACACTTACATGATTACTGTGTACTACATATTTACAAAATTACTATTTACAATATAAACATTGTTTTTGAGATCATGATGGAGACTCATATTTCTAAGAAACATGCAGGTGTTTTCTACAATCCATTTCATACATACTGATTCAGACTAAAACAAATTCAGATTATTTGTGATGTAAATATTTACACAAGTTATCATCAATATGAGATAACTACAGAATGTCTATATTTTCATTTAATTGCCAATTTTAACACAAATCCAAGGTAATCGCTGTATTACAGGAAACTTTTTCGGAGTATTTAAAGCAAACCCAGTATTCAATGCTTAATGTAAAAGCAAAATTGGTCACTAAAATGACCATGACCCATTCTACATATATTGGTTTCTCAATAGCATTTTTTATAAAATTAATTAGTGTTTCACTGTAAATATTTTTTTCTAAAGCACAGAAACTTACTGGTATGTCATAAGGGACGGCATCATTCACCAGGTTTGGTTGGTAACAAGTTTGATCCAAACAGAAGAGGAGAGATCTTAAAATTTTCCGTAGCAGAATCAGACCACGAATTTGAACCTGCACGTCTGGCTCAAGGAGGTATGGCCCTTCATTATAAAAAAAAACTGATTTATCTTTACCAAAAAAACTCTTCTGATCATATTTGGACAAAATCCTGTCATTCCTACAGAAGGAAGAGGATTTTAAAAAATTTGCTCTGTTTCCTGATAGGACCTGGCCCTCTGATGTCAAGGGGCCCCAGGAACTACTGTTTATAGAAAATAATTTCCTTACAACCAAGAATGTTCAGATTGAATTGAGATACAATCCTGGCATTCCTGCATAAGGAGAAGGATTTTATAGATTTTTTTCTATTTCTTATTCCCCCTAACCCACTTCTTACTCCAGGAACTGAGAACCATCGTTGCTCCTTCACTCAAGGATGCTTCAAATCAAAGTTGGATAATATCCTTTCTTTCTTAAAAAACAGAATTATTTTTTTAATGTTCCATTTCCCACAAGGATGCTTCTGACCAAATTTGGTCAAAATCCAGTTGTTTATGACTAGTGGTGAATAAAGGTTGACAGATGATTGATGCCATGTTGTGGCATAACATCACTAAGTTTTTCAGACTAGGCGAGCTAAACATTATACAATCCTTAGGCAGATTGTTATAAAATTGAAGAACTTGACATTAAATGTTATCTGGAAATTCTTGAAGTATTCAACACCAATAAAACTGCTGCAGTTGACAGTGTCTCTGATTTGCAATCTGTGATCGGCTGGTTCTAACATGCAATTTTTAACTCTTCAATGTCACTGTGCCCTGATCATCACAAGTTTTGACTGCCTCCCAACAGTAAAGGGACTGTCTCTTCTTGCAAGGTACTGTCATACTGGGCCATCTGAGTGATCTAACAGTTGCACTCTTTACAAGGATGGAGTTGCTTATTCTCCAAAGCTCCATAAGTCATTGTAATATTTCACTTCAAGATACTGCTACTAAATTACTCTGTAAATAACAAAACAACATATCAGTTTATACATAGTTTTCTATGTGATTATTTAAGGATGTGTGAAACTCGGACACCAACAAGATGTGTTTATGAAACAAAGCAACAAAATTACAATCACATGGTCAAAAATTTGGGTACCACCAGAAAGGTCTTGTCACCAGAAACACACAAAGTAGTCATGGTCAATATTAAAATTTTTTAAATGTAGGTCAAAGGTCACATGGTCATAACTTTTGGTACAACGGATAGTAGTTGTCAAAAGGAATACACATGCTAAATATGAAAGCCCTATCTCTTACAGTGCAATAATTATGGGCAAGGTTAAAGTTGACAACAGACAGAGAGCACAATATCAATATGCACCCTATCATTTGATCCAAAGGCATCAAAATTTTAAAAAATTTTCTTTGGTTCTAGGGATTTTTTGAAAGGTTAGATGTCAGAAAGAAATTCAAAAGCAAAAAAACAGCATGTTGCTACATTTCTCTTACCGCTACAAGCAACTGAATATGTGTTATAGGAAAAGTACATTTTCACTTATTTTTCTTCATGTTTTTGCAAATAACAATATTTTTTCGTCTTTTTCAGAAAATACATGATACTGAGATAATAAAAAAAATAATAATCTCAAAAGGCTAATTTTCAATTTGCTTTGACAGTCACTCATCTCCATAGCAACCAAAACATGTAAATTTTAAAAACTGCTTCAATCCTTTATTTGACAATGTTCTGAAACCAAACCTTCTTCAAGATTAATGTTACAATAGAAACTTGTTTGAAAGTAGTTTTCATAAAAAAAGAAAGGGTCACTTCTTAATTTTTCATAATCTTCACCCAAATGTCTATTTTTTTTTCTTTCAAAAATCAAGGAAAAGGAATACAGGTATTTATATATGGATCTTTAAATCCAAGAAAAGTTATCCACTGTGTCAGCAGTAAGGCATTTCCAATCTATGATTTGTGGTGATATTTCCAGCAAAAATTTTTTAAATTCCAGTTTAAACTTCCACTCAAGAGAAGTTCTCTAGCACAGGAAAAACATTGAAATTGCTGATGCTGTAAAACGAATCACAATGTCAACTACACTGTCACAAAATGTAGTTAAAGAAAAAAATCTACAGAACATTATATTAAGTGCTCCACTTTTGGCAAAAAAGTACAAGTATTGGTAACAAAGTATCAAAATGCAAAATTCTATATTACACTGGAATTTATTTTATATTGAAATATGCCCTACTTCTGGTCAAACATAAGTATGATATCCTTAAAATGACACTTTTCAAAAACTGAAAAAGTGCACAACTCAGTATTCCTACTCTGTTGAAGGGAACAATTTTTTATTATCCTAGCATAGTTACAAACATTTACCTGATTACTACCCTATTTCATTTCTTACTTGTTCTGAGGGGATGAGTTAAGTCAACTGAGGTTATTTAAATTTTATGGACTAAGTATAAACAAGGTAAACAGAGACACTTAAATATGTACAACAAACTGTAGAACTCTTAACATAAAGTATTGCTGTAGAATTCATGTTCGAAACTCATTGTGTTACTGGTATACATTTAGAGGTACAGTTACTTTCAGTATCCAAAATACAATGTATTGTTAAATGACTGGTAGGATCAGAGTAACCAAGGTCATTTTAATTACTTTCATTAAAAGTACCAACCATTATAACGATAAAAACACAAATAGTAACCAATAATTCTGGTCAATATTTTCAACAAAGAGATAACTGTTGCCATAGTCAATCAGTCAAATACTTTTATGATTTCATTTTTTAAAAACATGTATCGCTTTTCAAAATTGCACATACCTTCAATAGATTTCTGATATACTTGTCAGTGAAACCAGGGATTTTCTTTAAATCTTCATACTGAAATTAAGATAAGTGATATATTAAAAGCACCTATCTTTGTTATGTTTGCAGGGCACTAGCAGGTGCCTGGTGATTTCCTGGTAATATTGTATAACATGTTTGTGGTTACAGGTTACATTTATATCCTATATGAAGTAATACTTAACCAAAGAATAACTTTCTGAACAGAACTCTGTTGTTTCAGAACCTTAAACACTTTGACAAAGAGGAGGACATATGAAATATATAAAGTGGGTCACACTACTCATTCAGAAATTATTGTTACCAAGTCATGAACATATTTAGTAATGAGTGAATCAAACTTATTTTCATATTTTTTTCAAAACGATTTTACAGGAATGCTGAGTTGTACTAGTCAGAGTTGTTGGATATGACAGTAATCTCCAGTATTTGTAATCTAACATACTATAATGACAAGATCACTATTGATTGAACAACTCAGCCAACTTCCTTACATTAGAGAAAAGGCCATAGGCCTCCCGCCACTCATAAATTAGCTTTGCACGTTTCACCCCTACTGTCTGTAAGGCCTGTAGATCCTTAACTGTTGATGTATTGAGTCTGGTAAGGAATTCTTCATCTAGGAAAAATACAATAAAAAAACTAAATAAATTTAAACAACAAAACTAAACATCTAGCTTAGGTGTTAATCTTGTTATCCTGGCACCCGTGCTTCAAATAGTGGATTATTTGATTGAAAATATGACAATCCATCACAATGCATGAAATTATGTCTTTATAGATGATTGTGTAACTGTTCTGTAAAATGTGTGCATTATTTTTTAGTATGAAATCATTCCAGCACTATTTATTCTCGTTTAATGTACTCTGGGTATCACATTACAAGCAGTTAGGGAATATAACTTGTGTAAACGATGTACACTGCAGAGTAATGTTAGTGTTGTAGATGTAGACAGATGCACCTAGACAATAACAAGCCGTTTGTAACAAAAAAACCCATGTCATATCACCATGCATTAATCAATCTTGTGGGCTTATAAGGACACACTGCATAGGAAATGCTTGTGTTACAGGCAATATAATAATGTGAATTCATATTAATGCAGAACATTTACAGTGGAGTCAGATGACCAGAAAACATACTTATAGACAACTGTAAATCTGTTGAGTTGAGGGGCTCCTCTGTTGATTGACACTTTGTATCTGTAAAGAAATTAAAATCAATTGTGAGGCCTGATCACAAGCGTATTGTATCACAAATGTGCTACAGTTGGTATCATTTCTGTAGACAAGTTTTATTTAATCATTTTCAATAGAAATGTAATCACTGCTGTACACTTGGATTTTGGACAGTTTGCATTGTCTTATGGACACATTTGTAATTAACATTAATTAACCTGACTTATAAAATAATGATTTGACCTAAAATTCTTTCCATTATAAATACAGTATAATTGATTGTTTTCAGGATCAGACAAAAATTCAATCATATGTTTATTCTTCCAGTGGTGCCTCTCTGGTGAAGTTCCATACATTAAAACTGAGAAGAAATCCATGCATCTGAAAACTTTGTTATATCACATCTTACAACCTCCACAGTTCTACACATTCCTCATGTTTGGTGACCAGCTATATCACTAGTACTAACATTGACTGGGATTTCATCAATTACGACATACAGCAATACCTGGCAACGTTTTAGGTATGAAAATCCGTATTAGTAATTGCACAGAATATTCAGACTGTTACAACCTACCTGGAAGTTTTGAGGAGCTTGCCGAGGACCTGAAGCCCTTTTTAAAGAGTCGAGGTTGGGTGGCAAATAGGGGACTGCAGCTGATATCATTCTCACTCTTCTGACGTTTCAGCTTTGATGTTTTCAGAACATTTGTCTTGTCTAGAAATAACAAAAGGAATTGGAATGTTACATGGAAATAAGTAGCATAAGCAAAACTTGTCTTATTCATTTCTCTGAAAAACAGGAATTTCCAGTTTGACTGGTTTTTTTTCCCCATGCCCAGTGTAAGGGATGAGATCAGAGGCTGAGCATACCTGTAAGAACTCTGGGAGGGGAGGGTGAGGCTGGTGGGGTGTGATGTGCAATAGTTTGTAGTTGTTGTCGACTGGCTTCTAGCTGTTTGTGAAGCTGAGACATAAAGTCAGGATTTGGTGCTGATTGGCCTGTGGTATGTGTCATCTCCTTCATCTGGTTGAGAATGTTCTTTTCAAGATCTTCAAGTCGTCGATTAACTGTTTCCTCTAGACGGTTTTGTCGTCGTAGCAGAGGACTGAAAAAAAAAGAAACAGATTATCATATAGAAAAGGGGTAGGATATTGTGTTATATGTGAAGTCTTACCATTTTATCTGAGAAAGAGGTTAAGATCCTGTATTATAGGGTTCACATGAGAAAAGAGAAGGATCTTTTAGTTCTAGTGGTGTGGTAGCCATGAATCTGTGAAAGGGACAGGATCTTGTGTTTTAGGTGTTGAGAAAGTCATATATACCTGAGACAGGGAACAAGATCCTGTGTTTTAAGTATATTCTTAGTCATTCACATGAGACAAAAGACTGGTTGCTGTATTTTGAATGAGATGTTTGCCACTTACCTGAGAAACGGAGCTGGATCTTGCGTGACTGGTGGTGTGCTGGCCACTTTGACAGACATCCTTGCTTTCTTTGGCAGACTTGCTTCATCATCATCTGGGCGGGCAGGTGTTTTCCTTATGAGCTCCTGTCTGGAAGCTAGTGAAGTAAGAAAAGCTGATGTCAGTATCTCATACATTATGCATGTCATACTAGTCCTGCCTACATCAGACAAACAGAATGAATATTACAGGAGACACTAGCCTTATCCATCAGTGATTTCTTTTGCCTTTTAGATTGCTTCCACTGGCACAAAAAATGCTTCATTTTCAAAATGGGGAAAAAATCAAGAACATATTCACAACTTTGAAGTAAACGTATTTCCCCAGTTGATACAGTAACAGCATGCTTTAAAATCCTTGTCGAAAAAAAAAACCCACTATGATTATGTATTCAAAGTTTCCTGAACAGAAAAGAAGCACACACAGCCTATTCAGATAAAGGTGACAAACTTACGTATAGTCTCCCTCACACATGTGTTGTTGACAATCTTTTTACTCTTGCTAGCAAAGTTGAGAGTACAGTAGGTGTCATAGTAATAGCGCTCCTCTGGGGCAATGTTGGTGATCATGACTGAGTGGCAGGACCCACCTATAGAGTCCTACAGGAAGGAAAAGGTGGATGACACACGGTCTATATCAAAATGTTACTGGTTATCAATCTTTCTTACCAAACTGGGAGATTATCAGTTTTGTATCTCTAAGACAGGAATATCTATACTTAATTCTCTCTAGACAGATCATTCAAATGAAAAATTACACATTTCAATATGTATCTACATCAGCTCTTCTGTCTTTCTCAACTTCACTGACTTTGTGTGTCTTTCTTATGAAAGTATCATTAATGTATTTCAGCTTCATGCAGGATTCACTGACGATGCAAAATCTTTTGGTTTTTTTTCTTCCTCTCAAACAATTGATCACATTTCACTATGTTTATTTTACTATACTTATGTAGGATAAAGTTGCAACGGAAATAGAATTAATAGAGGGAAAAAAAATACTTTTGTTATACATCATCTCTCCACTTTGTGTATTTACATACCTGTAATAGCCTGGTAAGCTTGCTGTTTCTGTATGGAACTCGAGGCTAAGAAGATAAACATATTGTTCAACCATCTATAAATGTAACACACCCAAATTATTTTGTGTAGAATACAATATTAAGCATGAAGTTTCTGAATGCAATTGTCTGCATTTAATATAAAATGTTCTTTAAATGTCAGGTTATTTTTCCCACTTCACATTACTGATTTATGAAAGATGTGCCTTTTCTATGTAAAAATGTTGTTAAGCATAGCTAGTAAGCAACATACCAGATGGTTGTTGATGGCATCTACCACCTCTCCCAATACAAATAAAGACTTGTTGATAGCCCCACTCTCCTTCAACCTGCAACAAGATCATACGCATGTCTCACCACATCACGTAAACATGTCTCACAACATCAGGTAAACATGTCTCACCACATCAAGTAAACATGTCTCACCACATCATGTAAACATGTCTCACTACATCATGTAAACATGTCTCACTACATCAAGTAAACATGTCTCACTACATCAAGTAAACATGTCTCACCACATCAAGTAAACATGTCTCACCACATCATGTAAACATGTCTCACAGCATCAAGTAAACATGTCTCACTACATCATGTAAACATGTCTCACACCTTCTGTAGATATCAGTCGAGTTGAAACATGTTAACCATTAAACTCGACTGATATCTACCAAAGATGTTGTCTTGCCGTCTTTTACCTATTGTTACACACTATTTTGGAGCCGGACTCTGTATTCCATTTCGGAATCTGCCTTGGGGAGACAGCTGAACTTAACGACCTGTTGCACCGGATATAAATTTGTAAAAGAACAACACCTTCTGTAGATATCAGTCGAGTTGAAACATGTTAACCATTATACTAAACAAACATATTGGTCTCTTTTCCTTAGTATCGTCCAAATTTAGTAATGTTGAATCATCAAGATGAGAATCAGTATTGTGATATACGCTAACAACTCATAAGTAACACTGTATCAAAGTTTCATTCTGCAGAATGACCTGATAGAGTATTTCCTAATGAAACCATGACAGGGATCATTAAATTTCCCATATCTTCATCAATCTACACCTTCAAATCCATACGGGTAAGCTTTTTTCATCTCAGAAACTGTGATACTTGATACACTCCCTTAGGTAAGAAATCAACCGTGGCATATGTCACCTATGATGTGATAGACCCGAGGGGACGTTTTGATAACCTCTTATCAATCAAAAAATAAAGGGAAACTTCAAGTACTTCTGCTGAAATGCTAGGCGGCAAATAAGAATGAGGAATTTTCACCACAAAAAGTTCACTTGGACCTTTTTAAATACACACCTGATACCTTGGTTACCCGTCCTCCTATTGTCCTCAGATCCAGCCAAATCTATCAGGTAGATTTTGCCATGTAGCTCTCTGAATGGTGCACACAACTGTGTCTTCTTCAGGTTAAGCAGTAGGATGCAATGGCTTCTACTAGATCGGTCATTTAGCTTTGTCACTGCTACAGTTCTGGCAACAAAAAATGATTTAATGAGAAGCATGATCACAATCCTGACAAAATTCTCTGTCAAAATTATAGCTACATTTTCAGTAAATATTGATACAATTGAAAAAATGTACTTTTTATTTTGTAGTTAGCTCTGGACATTGGATAGGTAAAATTGTACTTTCATGCAAATGAATTATACATGTAATATCAAATATACATAGCTGGTAACCTAATGACAGTGTAACTTACACAGTACCTTCTCCACAATCAGTCTGCAGTAGTGATTACCATAAAAATGTACCAATCATATCATTTTTGAGGACTGTCATTTTTATCAGCTTAGTTTTAAATGTTATTATTGAAACTTTTATAATTCATAATTTCAAAAATCATATTGGTCAACAAGGAAAATAAGATGAATATGTGTTGTTTTGTAAACAAGCCTTTTGTAACTTCACTTCACTGAGGACTGAAATTCTGAATGTGAACCATAATGCTCTTGGAAACTTTTAAAAGTATCAGTAGTGTAAATACATCATTAACCTGATGAAACACCTACCTGTTATTGGATGCTGGTCCAAAGTGAACTTTAAACTCATCAAAACTTTGTATCTCCTGTTTTGCCAGCCCTGGGACAAAAATGTTTTTATCTCCGTCTTCCCTGATGGGGAGGTCAGAGTTTTTAACATCCAAAAGATCCATTACCTATCAAAATCAAACACATTAATCATTAGATTGGTTTGATTGTCCAGCAGGTAAAGAGGAAACACATGACAAGCAGTTAAGTTATTGTAACATTCAATATACATATCCAAAATCAACTACGGTAAAATCCTTAATTCATATTATGATCAAAACTCTTAATCAGTGACAAGTACCATATAAATTTTCACTATAACTTAGTTGAATTGACTTGATCCTTCTTGATACCCGCTTGTTTTTTATAATTATACTGATTGTTTTTTTTTATTTTCATAATTTCAGGAACAATAAACATCATTTATTATTATAGACAGTATACTTTTATAAATGTTAATGTTAAAGATTACCATTCTAAAGTGCAAAAAAAATCATAGAATAGAAGCTGTTTGTCGCAAAAAGATCTTCCAATTTACTAAACAGAAAGAAGAAAACAAAAGCTTTTCAAAAAGAAATGACATTTTGAATTATTAATCAAGGATGGTTTTATATAAGATATGCCATTTATTACCGAATTGTAGTTTGAAAAGTTTATCTATTAACTTGCTAGCTTGACTGAAGCTAGTGAAAAGGTATGATAAAAGAGTTATGAAATCACCGTGACATCTTGCTCTTGTTATCACAATTAGAGTTATCCTTGTCCCTCAAACCCTAGAATCCAGAAAAGGTCTAAAGAACTACTAAACTGATATCTTTTATTAATCAATTACTTCACTTAAACAACAGATAGTGGAGGAACTTAAGATCTTCAGTGTTGAAAATTACAACTTTGATAAATCACAACAGAATCTTCACATCCTCAATAAATAATAATATTGTCTACCTTTTCATTGTATATTTCCAGGTAGGAAAATGAGACATTGTATTTCCACTGATCGCCCTTGCATGCCTTCTTTTCTTCAGAAATTTTCTGAAATACTCCATTAATGACACGAGGGATGACTCCAGGATTACTTGGGGATCCCAGCATGGTGTGAGTCTTTCCTTTAGAAATTAGAATAAATATACTTACAAAATTTAAGTTATAGGTATTTAATAAGGCATACCAAGTATATTCTTTGTTGCAGTTGCTTCCAGACATTTTAAGAACTTATCTTCTAATATGATATTTATGTAACCTTTAAAATCATGATTCCTACTGATAAATATGTTTCATTATTGATATACATTGTACTTGTAATATTTGTAATGGTGTATTTCTAATGGTACTACCTTGTTATTTATTGTAATTATTTTCATGTCTTTTGGTGGTTTGCTAATAAAAGAATTCATTTACCAGCTCCTGTGGGTCCATATGCAAATATAGACACATTCTGCCCTTGTAAGGCATGCAGTAGTTTTGGTTTCACACATTCTTGAAACAGTTTCTGCTGAGTTACTGTCATGTCATACACTGTCGTAAAACTGAAATGTAAATGCTCCATTTTACTCTTTTTTTCAATTCTTAGTTTAAGCAATTTGAAAGGTTTATATTCATGCATGTCAAAATATCAAACTTCAAAGCTTTAAACAATTATGCTGCATGAGGGGTTCTATCACAAAAACTGGCTCTTTTCTAAAGACCAACCGGAGATCTATAGATTGTTACTTTTTGTGATATATATAGCTACAGCCTGTGGTCAGGTCATTTTATTTTTCATAAACAATACCCTCATACAGCCTTATTAATACTACATATATATCAACACAATCAGAAAAATATACATTCCCATTCTCTCATCAATAATTAGCACCAGTATAGAGATGGATACCATTTGCCAAGTGAAGGAACAAATAAGTCTGGTGAATAACATTTCATCTAACTTTTACTCCAAAATTAACACAAGCAGTAGAAGTTATTTTAAGCAAACATTAGCATGAAATCCAATTCCTGAATGTATGCATATCTCAACAAGATTTTAGTCTCAATCTATGACCAGTTTACTGGGGGAATAAGGGGATCACAGGGTAGTCTCCGAAGACTGACAAATGTTCAAGAAAAATTCCTACCAATTTGACCCTGTGACTTTAAGTTCTACACCATTACAATGACAAGTGACGACAGATGGTATTGAAAGAAGTTTTAAAACCCAATGCAAGAACCTCTGGTCATAATCAGGGGTCAGCTGATCAACTTACTCATATTTGATGTTCTCATTGATGTTGCGATGGTTGAAGATTTCTACTGAGTTAGCAGTGCAGCTCACACAATTTTTGTCATCAGGCTTTAGAATTGGTCGCACACGGACCACAACAGTCACTTTAGCTTTCTTCTTCTCCATGATACAAAGTACAGGTCACCACTGGTTCTTTCTTCATTAATAATAAAAGCACAATTTTCTTCAAAAACATTCACGACTGTATTTATTTACAAGTAATTAATGAATTAGGAAATCTGAACAACATATATTCAGTTTCCTAAGAGGTCATTGAATCAATAAAGTATGCAAAGAGAAAAAAATCATGTTATAATATCCAGGCTATTTATTATTTCAGAAGCATATAAAGTGAAAGCAATCAGATATTTAGGGTTACTATGTGAATTGGTTTTTTATGTGCTTGAGTAGCCAAGCATCTGGTTGTTGTAACGTGATTTATTCTGCTGTTAGTTATATAGACAAAAATCATTCATGACCTCAAATGCCCTCTCCCTCCTTTTCCAACATTATTTTTGTTCTGTATTCTCACGCTGTAAAGTTTTGACATAAACTTCGTACGTGCTCTTCTAAACAAAAGAGTTCAAAATTTATCTAAACATAAATATAATTCTTCTACTGTAATACTTTCTACAATATATACCACTGGACACAAAACCATTCTTAGTGAAAGATTTCGCCTGGGCAATTCCTGTTTAGAAAATTGTCAGTTTGTGGTCCTGTATGAGCCAAGGAATGTTACTATTGTAATATGATGCGAATTGTGCGATAAACTTTGTCTCCACGAGAAATAAAAATACCTCCGTGGCATACATACCCCAAACACCATCCACTGTTGTTTTGAACTTCCCACTCTTCCGGTAGAATTGACCAATCAAATCGGTCCATAGCATCTTATCTGCGAAAAGCTTAAGCGCCGAAACGACCACGTCAATGTGCGGGAAACACCAATTCTGGAGTTGTCAGGAGATACGTCTTTATGTATTATCGTTAATTTAAGGTAGCATTTGTTACTTATGTCATGCAAAAATATGTTGTACGAATTTGAACTATTGTTTATGATGTACATATGATTAAAATGTGTATTTCATGATTGCATCACGCTATATTCTCGGCATGATGTTCGACTGTCCAGCTACTTGAGAGCTTTGTTAGGCGAAGTATTTCGATTCGTGATTGGCAGCATTCGCTTCTGTACAATAACACTCTGTTTGTGCTTCTTCTGCGTTTATATGATATTTCCCAAGTAAATAGAAACATCTATGGTTTCATTATGTGGAAAGGTTTATATAATTACATGTATCCAACATGGCAGGAACCAACGCAGTGAATCGCTGAATACCTATATCACGTCCCTGCCTATATTCTCAGTTGTAATTTCCAGTCGATGACCGCCCTTGTTTAGTTTCTTTTAAATCTGATGTACTTTAGAATCTTTAGATTTAATACTAAATTTCATACTTTTTGTCCTCTCTGGGCTTCATCAGGACCTTGAAGAAGCCTTTAGAAGGCAAAATCGCTTTATGGTTAGTAATAAATCTAAAGACCTCACTCTGATGCTGTTGTGATTGATATTCATTAATTGATTAGGCAATAACTGAATCAGTGATGTATTCTTTTGTTTTTACAGCTTTTCTGCTGAGACATAGGATGTAAAACATATGCTAACGTTAGACATTGAATAAAGGCTACAGCTGTCATGGGATTGATTGGTGGTGACTCGGAGACGGAAAAAGAGACTTGGTGTGTTGAAGGCAGTGATGATGAGAAGTATGACCCTACAAAATCAGGAAAAGGTGTATGGGAACCTAAACCTGAAGACATTTTGAAAATGTTTGAGAAAATTGAAAAAGAAAAAGTTCTAGAATTAAGTTGGAAATGTCCTGGTCGACGACCACCAAAGGGGACAGAAGAAGAGGATATGGATGCCACCCAGGATCCTAGCATTGAGGTGGAGCCGGAGGAAGCAGAAGAGGAACCAAAGTGAGGAAGCAAAATTATTCCCAAATTTTCATGTTTAGTAGGGTAATCTGTTCATTCTTTTTTGGTTTGGTACCGTTACCATCTAAAAAATGTCAAATGTATTTTAAGTTTGTAAGGGTTGTGATATCCAATCCTTAAAACCATTTCCATATCCCTAAATTCACAATATAATCTTATAATGTATTTTTCATTTCATTTTTTTTTTTTTTTTTTTGTTTATTTGTATATCATAGGTTGGATATTCTATTATTTTTAACCTGCCATCATCAGATGGTGAGCTATTCAAATTGCCCTACATCCATGGTCTGTCGTCAGTCCATCTGTCAACAATTTTTTGTTATCGCTATTTCTGGAGAAGAACTGGATTGGTCTTTCTCATATATCATCTGTAGGTTCCCCTTGGTCCCTAGTTGTGCCTGTTTGATTTGTGGACTGATCAGGAAAACAAAATGGCTGACAGACGGCCCTCTTGGTTTTTTTTCAATAAAGTTTGTTATCGCTTAGATTTTATTTTCGCATCTCTCATGTGTATGTTTCCTTTGATCCCTAGTTGTGCCTGTTTGATTTTCATCGCTATTTCTACAAAGGAATGTTCAAATTTTTTTACCATTAAGATAACAGAAAAGAAGGGAAAAGATCTAACTTTCAAAGAGCCCTCCCAGATCTCCTGTTTAATGCACTTATCAATTTATAAGTTATGGCATCAATGCAACATTTGCTGTCAACAGACTGAATTTTGTCTTTAAACAATCACTTTTGATTAGATTATTAAGAATTTTAGCTTGGATTCATTCATTAACATTATGTTACAGGCCACAACAGCCAACTGAATTTGACTTTGAGGAAGATGAATTTGATACTACCACCAAAGTGACTCCCAGGAGAACACCAGGTTTGTAACAGACTTGTATTTGCCACTTTTGTATACTCATTACATAATGTTGAATCAAGGTGGTAGAGACCTTACACATTACACCTGATACACACATTATCAAAACATAAAAGTAATAGAGTGGGTAGTAATAGTTTGGTGAATGTACAAGACACAGATATTCAGTTATTAAGCTATTCATGCACTATTGGTGCAAAAATATATGATCTTATTTGTGTTCAAAAGTTGCAGTAAAGTTTACCTTGGTGTCTTATCATAACCGTTTGATTTTGTGACTGATCAGGCAGTCATCTTCGACTTTGACTGCGAAAGTTTGTTATCACTGTTCTTGAAATATACAAGATATACTATTCTCAAAGTTCATATCTATTTCATATAAATTTTTTGCCTCTGGTCCAAAGTTGTGCCTATTTGATTTTGCTGATCAGGGAAACAAAATGGCTGATGGGCAGTTATCTTGGATTTTTACAATGACAGTACAGTATATCACTGCTTCCTGAGAAGTACATGATGGATCTTTCTGAATTATCATGTGTAGTTTCCTGTTGGTCACTTATGTGCCAATTTGACTTTAAAATTGATCAGAAAAGCAAAATAGCTGAGAGGTAGTCATCTTGGATTTTGACTGCGAAAGTCACTATGCTGATTTCTCTTTGCAACTAATTGTGCCCCTTTGATTTTGGAACTGATCAGAAAAAACAAAATGACTAACAGATGACCATCTTGGATTTTAACCATGAAATGTTATCACTATTTCTTCAGAGGAACTTTCTTTCACAAATTTTGTATTTAGGATCCCCTTGGTCCCTAATAGTGCCACACTGATTTTGGGACTGATTAGAAAAAACAAAGCAATTGACAGGCAACAATCTTGGATTTAAGAAATTATTAATATTGCTGTTTCTTATAAGGAATATTCAAATTTTTGTATGATTAATAGCAAAAATCGGGAAAAAATACAACTTTTAATTAACAATAATGATTGAAGGATAGTGGATCTCTCTGGTATTCCTTTTTGGTTTTGTTTCCACAATAGCAATTTATTTTATTTTTTTTGTTTTTGTAAATTCTATTAAAATCTTTAGACAAAACAATATATAAAATTTATAATTGTCTAAGAGGGGTTTTGTCAAATTTTTACACATAGCAAATGTTAAACAGAAGTAATTTTAGCGGTGATGTTAATCATGTCTCATTTTTTTTTCAGTTTTACTTGTCATAGAAATATCATCTTGTATTTGCTACTTTCTCTAGGTGTGAAGACACCAAAATCTCAGAAAAAGGTAGCCCGAATGGACAAAGTGTTACAAGACATAATGATGCAGCGCATACAAAATGCAGCAGAAAAACAAGCCAGACGTCAAGGACGTAGCCCAGGTAGCATCCCCAGTGGTCGGGTTAGAATGGGAATGTCTCCAGGGTCAGGAGGTCACAGATCCCCAGGGTCTTCTCCAGCCTCTTCACCAGCTCCTGTTAGACCTGGTTCCTCCCCAAGTTTGGGCATGAGACCAACAAGACCAACTGCAAACACACCTACACGACCCCCCATGGATACTGGGTCAACTACACCTGTTCGGTCCATGCCCGCTACAGAAATTTGCCAGACTCCACAATCTTGGTCTACATCCAACTCAAATGCCAATATAACCCCACCTGCTATAGCTAAACCTAACAAAGACTTTGGAAATCCTCCTATTGGAATTCCTCAAGGGAATGTTCCCCAGACATCATATGGTTCTGTGATGACATCGTCTGTGATGTCTCCTGTACCTGCTGATAACATACCAATAAGTCCTCTGACAGCCACTCCCACTGGCCAGAGGGCAGCAACAGACACAGTAATGAGTGGTGCTAGAGACCCACCACCACTTCCCCCGCCTCCTCCACCTCCTCCTCCTGCCGAGGGAAGTGGTGTGTGATGGGTGATTTTTCAGATGTTCTAGTTTAAACTCTGAGGACTGCAAGACAGAAAGGTGTAATCTTTTTGTTAAGAAATAAAACTTAGTGTAGGTAGGATCAACTCAACTACATGGTCAGTATTTTACAGGGAAGTTGTTCAGTTCAAACTTTACGATATTTCATCATTGAGACAGATACACTTGTGGAGTATCTTGTGTGTGCAGGTATAATTTAGTAGGTATGTTTGCAATACATCTTGCTTTCACAAACAGATTGACTTGATAAAAAAGTTTACAATGTACAGTACTAAGTTTATAAAAGGTCTGAAGTAAATTTTACTTGTATTTTAAACATAATGATGAAAAAAAACCAAAACCAATGTTCATTGTGAAACTAGTTAACAAGACATCAGTAATCTTGAGGTTTAATGTCCATTCTTTCAGTCCGTCATAAAACATGGATTCGTACACTAAAATAATACTTCGGTTATTGAGTGTGTCCACTGAATAATGGTACAATCATTTAATAAATATATACCTGTATATGTGTGGTACATACTTTAATATAAAGTGTACACTAGGTACAGTGTATTCATTGTTATCCTAGTTATATTACTGTTCCAAAACTTGAAGTTATTCAACTGTGATCTGGAAGACAGGAAATATTGGCCTCATGTACTATATATACTAATATATTACTCTATTCAGAGAATGCCGCATATTGTAGATAAATATTAGTTTAATCTCCACAACAAGATGAATCTGTGTATTTTGTAGTGAGTTGTATCACATTGCCATATTTTGCATATTAACTGTCAGATCTATGTATTGAGCATGAGCGTCCCAATCCATGATGCTCCTTTAGTCTGTTCAAAGAGGTTTGCACCCATCAATTAACCTAGCACACATTGTAATATTATGTATGCTCTTCATAAAAAAAATGTCAAGGTATTCATGTAATCATGTGGCATGAGTTATAGCCCTTAGATCATGATGTGAGAAAAAAAGGGTTCCTTACGCGTTTTATAAATAATTATTAACGTTAATTTTGCTAGATATTTTGAAATAATTTATTACTGAACATATTAAACTAGAGACAACTTTTAAACATTGATTATGTTTTTATATATTTTTTTCCACTGGTATTTTCATTCCAATATGACATTGCCCTTATACATCTGTCACAGAATGACAGTTCTCTAGCACCTTTATTGTTTACTTATAAGTCGGGTTTTAAAACGTATTTTGATGGTGTTGATACATCTTCCAGCTGACTTCCTAGTTTTTGTTGTTGAATTTCCTGATGTATACCCTTGTATCCTAATTTTTTCCAGGCTGGTTACAAAGCAATTTCAGATGATAGCATAATCTAATGGTCTAAGTTACTTGGCCAATCTAACAATTGACCAGTACATAGTTATATTGTGCATTGTATAGTCATTGATCCGTGTGGTAATACATTTTAATTGAACATGCAACTAACAATGACAAATCAGTATGTTAGTGTCCAAGAAATATAAATTAGCAGTTTGTTAACTAATAAACAGATACTAGAATTGTATTGGGAAGGAGTAATGAAAAACACTGCCCCCTCCATGATTCAAAATTGCAACCTTTCGGTCTCTAGCCAGACACTATACCACTCAACTAGAGAAATTACCACAACCTGGTAGTCAAGACTAGTAAGGCATTGGACTATCAGTATGTGGAAGGGCTACCTGTATGTGGAAGGGCTACCTGTATGTTGATGACTTACCAAGATGGACGGACTACCAGTAAGTGGATTGACTACCAGGTTCTGGATGGCTTATCATTGAGTGGAAGCCCTGTAAATATGTGGATAACCTACCAGTATGTGGAAGCCTACAAGTCTGTGGATGGACTGCCAGTATGTGGAGGACATATGTCGATAGCCTACCATGTCAGTATATGGATAGCTTAATTGTTGAAAAAGAAAAACACCATTCTGACTGAAAATGTCATAAGCACAGTTTATTTATATTTTTTCTAATATAAAGACAACATAACCACAAATGGTACAATAGACAAGCATCCAATCTGGTCTTTCTCCCGAGACATGAAACTTGCACCTCACGCTTCCTGGTCACATGATCAGTAGGAAATGATTTCAGTATGCACTACAAGTAACATATAATATATAATATAGATATTTAATCAAAGATCGCAGTAATTTGTAAATGCACCAAAGAAATAGAAAATATGTGAAAACAAAGGAAGATAACTGTTCATCAAAATATTCATTACTTGTCTCAGTAATATAGGTCTCATCTATAACCAATGCAAAAATAGATAGCCTTCAACGTTACAACTGTTTTAATTCCAACAATCTTTTGGCTCTCCATATTATAAAATTTGTTGATAATTCTTCAGACTTTTGGCTAATAAATCTCAATATTATCCTTGTATTACCAGCAGTAATACTGTGACAATGAAACCCTTTGTATTAGTTTCGAAAAAGAACCATCAGTCCAGCATTACTTGCTTAATGTATCTCACAAAAATCACAACAAAAGAGTTTTTTCAAATAAGTTTTGAATTGGGCTTTAACAGAAACATGTATATACAACTTAGAACTCCATTAGCACAAGAATGCTCCATGTCAGGTTAGGTTAAAATCCACTTACTTGTGCCGGAGTAATAGTCTTCGAAAACATCAATGCTTTCCATTATTGGACTCTGTATCTGACCAAAGCTTAACCATACTTATTTATACATCTCACTTCCTTGTATATGCTCTGCGTTAGAATTTATCAAAATCTAGCCCTTAATTTAAGACAATGACGACTACTGACACACTGTAATGTGAGTTAACTTGACAGTTTGGACCAGGAGAGCTCAAAACTTCAATGAATGGCGGTTGGATGAATTAAAAAAAAAAAGAAGCAAATATCACAATTTTCATTGTCTTTATGTCCCTTTTATAACAAAAAATGTTAATATATTAAATATGAAGATCAAGTTGCTTCATACCCTCTCCCTATAATATAATTAATTACTGTTTGCGTTCAAAATCAGACCCAAATTATTTCAACTGGCACATTATACAACGGATATATATCGCCCCTCAATTCTCATTAATATCATTTCATTATATATCAACAATATCTTTATATAGCTATAATAAACTGAATTGGAAGGAAAAGAAAACCTTAATATTTTCCCTTTAATCTTGATGCACAAATGTACAATGTTAGATTTTCATACCAGAACATGAGAATCCATTTTGAATATACTATTTATAAAAGTTCTGCAAATAAAAGCAAAATATAACATACCCAAATCTTTTCATTAGGTCCGATGCCCTATTAAATAATGTGTACCACACAACAGTTACAGGTATAGGTATATAATTCTGTTTTGTCTCGACATTTTTCCTCCCAAAAATGGCAAGATATATTCAAATTCATCAGTCCTTCCACCAACTTTACCAACCTTTTCCAAATTATAACTGTAAAATGGTCTCTTTCTAAATATTCCTGTATCTCTCAAGATACTGGTAATGTACATTCAATACACAACAAATAACAAGCTAAATTAACCTCTAAACAGAATGTACCAGCAGATACCTAATGTCTTCAAAATCTGTCGTAATAAAATACTTGTACATGTATTAAAAAGATAATAGTGAAAAAGGGTGTTATATTTTCAGATTACAGGGGGGAGGGATCTTCACAAAATTTAACATAATGCCACACTCCAAAGGCTAAGTCTTCCAATTATTATATCTTCTCTAGTCATAGCACTAGGTAAGCCATATATGGGCATCATCAGTGACCAAGGAGTACAACCCTGAGTTGAAATATGGTCCTTCAAGGTTGTCCTTTCATAGTCAGCTTGGAATTATTGTCCATATATGGTTATGTAGCTAATGAATTTCCCGTATAAAGTTATGTTACCAAAATTATGGTAATTCTGCAAATAACATAGCTATATATGGGCATACTTCAAATGAAATTTAATTGTAACGAGATCACATAATCTGTTCAAGACAACATCTGGGCCTGACCTCATAAAAGCATTCTCGTGCTCAAACCTATTTTCTGTGCAAAAACCATGCATAGACCCTGGGTAATTCAAAAGGTAAGTTGGATATTATAAAAACATATTTCAACCAAGTCTTGAGAATCTCAAATTCATTGTAAACAAAAGAGGCTTTGCATCAGTTCACTTTCATACTTCAGGAATAAGGCGGAGGGAGGGAATCTCATTCCTACCATTATCAAAGTATTTTTTTTCTATTTAAGGTAATGCCTCTTGGAACCAACTTTAAAGAATTCCTTTATGTAATCCAATTCCTTGTCAAAAATTCCTTGAGAGTTGAAAACACTCAAGATTCAGTGCTTCCATTTGTAAAATACATACACATCTTTCACAAGATTTATTTTCCTTGTCTTCCCTTTTGCAAATGGCCCCCTTACCATCTTATCTCCATTAACACTAAGCAAATGCTGCCTCTTCACTGAAGGATGCTCCAGATTAATTTGAAATTTCTTTTCCTGTATGGAATAAAGTTGACATTTACTTTTCCACACAAAATTTGTCCTTCTGGACTACCAAGGTATTAGCATTAAACAGTTATCAGACGGACAGAATGACGAAATGTCATACCATACCATATCATTTCAAGAACAAAGAATATTTCAGTTTATGCACAGAACCTAGTATGTTTCGAGTGCGAGAGTTGTTTCACGAGAAAAAGGGCCCCGATAAAGTAACAAACTATACAGGTTTGTATAGGATAAAGGACTATGTACAAAGTAAGCACTTGGTATTAAAAATACAACAATCATCAGTGTATATTATGTCTATAATTAATAACAAATTAGTATGACTTAATACCATTATATAAAGCAAACAATGTTATCTGTAAATACTCCTGACGACAGGATTACTCACCACAACGCCACAAAATCTTACTAACACTGAAAAGATGAAAAAACACCTACTGTAGCAACTATTTTTGTGGTTTCAGATATTGTAATGTCACAGTATAGATATCACCATTCCTTATGTCCCGAACATTTTGTGTAATGTAGCTGTAAAGAAGCAACCATTCCTAGTGTTTCAGACAGTTAATGTTACGTCATTGTCAGAAGTACTCATTCTAAGTGTTTCAGACTTTTTTTATTATGTCACTGTAACGAAGGAATTATTCCAGATGTTTCAGACAATTTGTGTTCTGTCACTCTGATGAAGGAACCATCACTAATGTTTCAGACATTCTGTGTTGTCACAGTAAAGAAGGAATTATTCCGAAAGTTTTGGGGTTTTCATCATGTGCCATGATATTTGTGCGTTTAAAACATTTGCAAGAGCAATTATGAAATTTACAATGAAGGCAATTTCATATTGATCAAACTCATTACTTGTTACATCTAATAATCACAGAAAGTCTAAGAAAATTACTTTCAATGAAGAAAAGATATCCACTTTGTATAACAGAATATGTCATTACTGAATATTTACAAGAGAAACTCTGTTCAACAAAGGCAGCTGGAGACTTAAAAATGTTACAAAACAATCCGGAAAATGTATACAGGGAAACATTCAACAAGTGTTAAATCTGCCTTAAAAGCTGAAGATATAGCTCGTTCTTTACACATTAGCCACCTTTTTTCCCCCCCACCTTGTTGACAAAAGAGCAAAATGGACCAAAGTTAAACAGTGGTGATAGTTTTCACATATAGACTAACCAGACATAGAAAATAAAAGTACAAAGGCAAGCAATAATATTTATCAATTAAACTTTTAACCCAAATATCCCCCATGTAACATTACTAGGGTTAGTCATTCAACAGAAATATCTCGAGCTATTCCCACCTTCACAAAGTGTGAATTATATGGAATTAAATAGTGTGTTGATTAGAATGTTCATAAAATGAAATTTTAAAAAGTCATGATTGAGAGAAAATATGCAAAATAACGAAATTAAAAGGATGTGATGATGTTCATAATGCATGAATTAATTTTGCCCTATAATATTCATGACTAAAGAGCAAAACATAAGTGAGAATCTTAACAGTGTTAATAGATGCTGGTTTAGCATTCTATATACTGGTATGACCAGCTTGTATGTCAAACAATCACACAGACTTAACTTAAAGCATTGAGGAGAATTGTCCTATCATCCTGTGATTTTATGAATTTAAATGTTTTACAAAATGCTGATCATAATCATTTTACAAAGTTGAGGAAATATCTCTAGTAGTTCTCCTAGAGACGAAAATCTCCGGAGTTACTTCCCTATGAGTTAAAAAAAGAGATGGTGCTAGATGTTGATAATTATGTGGTATCATTTTACAAAGTTGAGGAAATATTTCTATTTGTCCTACTACAGACGAAAATCCAAAGATTTGTGAATTTGGAGTTACTTCCCTTTGAATTAAAAAAATAAAAAAGAGATGGTGTAAAATGTCGATAATTATGTGGTATTATTTTACAAAGTTGAGGAAATGTCTCAACTAGTCCTACTACAGATGAAAACCCAAAGATTTGTGTCTCTGGTGTTACTTTCCTTTGAACTAAGAAAATGATTGTGTTAGGTGTTGATAATTATGTGGTAAATACTGGCATTATGCTCTCAATTTGATTTGACATCTTAAACAGCAGTATCAACATGTTTCATCACGGTAAGACATATCTTTACTTCACAAAGAACAAAATCCATAGCCAAAGTAAAACTTGATGCCCTATTTTTAGATAACCTTGACCTTCACCTAACACTGAGATGACAGAACCTGTGATTTGTTAATCAAGAACATATAAAAGTGACAATGATATTACTGCTTTCAAGTCTGATTTTTTTTAGGTGTTATATGAAACCTAACACTATCCACAGAATTTGTAAATTTCTATCTCCCACTAGGACACATGAAATAAGTCACTCATCAAAGTAGTAAGGTTTCCATCTCAGTCAATCCATCACTTGGACAGTATGACGTGTTATAGAGTCAGCCACTGTACAACCCAGTATTTCCATATCAGATCAATCCATATCTCTATAAAAAGGAAGATAGACAACACTAGTCTTGTTTACTACAGCGACATGAACATGTGTCCTGTGATTATAATAATGATTATTGAATAATGATTAAACTCTTGACATTTTTGTCAGCAATTATAACATTGCCTTAATCAGTAATAAGTTCATGCGTACACCATGTAGTAACTGTCCAATCAGGAAGGACCTCTCCAAAGCCAAGGTAGAGCCTGATGAAGGTCAAAGGTGACCTGAGTTGATGTGGGTTACATTCATTGTTGCTACAGAGATAATGGTGCACCAAAGACTGTGTATGGGAAATGAGTAAAAAGTCTTGTTTATATGTTTATACACCAACAACAAATGGAAAACAAGCAGGTGATGATATGATCTGTCATCCACTTCTAATACCTGTAAGGAATAAACAAAAACAAAGGTAAAGAATAATAAAAAAAACTGACCATCTCAATTTTTTTAAGTCCTGTATTTAATGGCTATATCATATGTATGTAGTCTACCAAAACATGAATACAGTGGTTATACCCCATGCAGTCTAATAAGAAATCACAGTAGGACTGTTCTCTATGTATTATAATGAGAATTCACAGCAGGACTGTTCTCTATGTATTATAATGAGAAATCATAGCAGGACTGTTCTCTATGTATTATAATGAGAATTCACAGCAGGACTGTTCTCTATGTATTATAATGAGAAATCACAGCAGGACTGTTCTCTATGTATTATAATGAGAAATCACAGAAGGACTGTTCTCTATGTATTATAATGAGAAATCACAGAAGGACTGTTCTCTATGTATTATAATGAGAAATCACAGCAGGACTGTTCTCTATGTATTATAATGAGAAATCACAGTAGGACTGTTCTCTATGTATTATAATGAGAAATCACAGCAGGACTGTTCTCTATGTATTATAATGAGAAATCACAGTAGGACTGTTCTCTATGTATTATAATGAGAAATCACAGCAGGACTGTTCTCTATGTATTATAATGAGAAATCACAGTAGGACTGTTCTCTATGTATTATAATGAGAAATCACAGCAGGACTGTTCTCTATGTATTATAATGAGAAATCACAGCAGGACTGTTCTCTATGTATTATAATGAGAAATCACAGCAGGACTGTTCTCTTATATTATAATGAGAAATCACAGCAGGACTGTTCTCTATGTATTATAATGAGAAATCACAGCAGGACTGTTCTCTATGTATTATACAATGAGAAATCACAGAAGGACTGTTCTCTATGTATTACAATGAGAAATCACAGAAGGACTGTTCTCTATGTATTATAATGAGAAATCACAGTAGGACTGTTCTCTATGTATTACAATGAGAAATCACAGAAGGACTGTTCTCTATGTATTACAATGAGAAATCACAGAAGGACTGTTCTCTATGTATTACAATGAGAAATCACAGAAGGACTGTTCTCTATGTATTACAATGAGAAATCACAGAAGGACTGTTCTCTATGTATTATAATGAGAAATCACAGAAGGACTGTTCTCTATGTATTATAATGAGAAATCACAGCAGGACTGTTCTCTATGTATTATAATGAGAATTCACAGTAGGACTGTTCTCTATGTATTACAATGAGAATTCACAGCAGGACTGTTCTCTATGTATTACAATGAGAAATCACAGAAGGACTGTTCTCTATGTATTACAATGAGAATTCACAGAAGGACTGTTCTCTATGTATTATAATGAGAAATCACAGCAGGACTGTTCTCTATGTATTATAATGAGAAATCACAGCAGGACTGTTCTCTATGTATTATAATGAGAATTCACAGTAGGACTGTTCTCTATGTATTATAATGAGAAATCACAGCAGGACTGTTCTCTATGTATTACAATGAGAATTCACAGTAGGACTGTTCTCTATGTATTATAATGAGAAATCACAGAAGGACTGTTCTCTATGTATTATAATGAGAAATCACAGCAGGACTGTTCTCTATGTATTATAATGAGAATTCACAGAAGGACTGTTCTCTATGTATTATAATGAGAAATCACAGAAGGACTGTTCTCTATGTATTACAATGAGAATTCACAGTAGGACTGTTCTCTATGTATTATAATGAGAAATCACAGAAGGACTGTTCTCTATGTATTATAATGAGAAATCACAGAGGGACTATACAATGTGAAGTCTACAGAGAATCCACAACAGGTACTATATCCTATGTAGCTAACTAAGGAATTCTCTCATTATATACCTTTATTCTGTTAGGTGTTTCTGGTCAAGAAGTAAAGTTTCTTGGAATATCAATTCCTTCAGTCTTTCTTTAGGGAGATCATCAAGTTCCATTTCAAATGTGAAAGGTTCTTCAGCAACAGGCTGCAACAGCAGAACAAATTTGCAAATTTAAAATCACATATATTCATATTCTATTTGTATGCTTCCTACAGATGTTTTGGTATATTTACATATATTGTACACCATTCAGTTTACCCTGACTGCCAGCCAATAACTTTGGTCTCATCTAATGGTAAATTATGTATACAAGGCAACAAAATATAGTACTTTCAGAATGGTATAAACATGTACAAAAACATCATCAGGAATGTATTGACTTCTATGATTAACAATCTACAGATGATACCCCAGTAGAAGGATCACTATAGTTGTGATGATACAAACAACATCACCCCACCCCCTGTAGATGGCTCAGATGAACCCTAATTAGAATACCTCGTCAGCAGGATCATAGTACTGTTCTAGATATGGGTGTTCCAGTGCTTGCTCCACTGTGATTCTCTTGTGAGGGTTAAAAGTTAACATCCTTTCCAGGAGATCAAGAGCTGGAACAGTAAAATATAATCACTAAAACAATACATTTCACAGGCTGAACAATCCATTTCATTGTTTCTTTTTTTTTTTTTACTTTTTTTGTGTGTGTTTTTTTAATACATTCACGGAAAAGAACAATTTAATAAATAGTATACCATGGCAGTTGCTTCAGAGTCACAGAAAGACCTTGTACACATGTATCTATTTGGAACACATGCAAAATATACTGACAATGACATCAAGTACGGTGGACCCGCTAAAATCCAGATGCAGATAGTTTTGAAAACTCACAGTTGAGACAACTTTGGCCAGTATGTAGATGTCGAGATTATCAAGGATACACTGTATATCTTTATGGTAGAGATATTTAATATAACGACAATGGCATCAGAAGTCATAAGCCTTGGCAATGAGGTATCATTGATTTTACCTTTGGAATCTGCATTTGGGAAAAGTCGACACCAGGGCATCTTAGTTTTATGTGGCAGAGTTTTTATATAGCCTCGAGCCTGTATAATAATCCAAACACATGCTATTACTACTATATATATAAAAAAAATAATGAATTGCATTAAAACATTTGAAATATATTTTATTCTTTGTTTTTTATCTTCAATCTATCATATATGACCGATGACTAAATATACTTATGTGAAGGGAGGTAATCCAATATGGCAGACACAGAACTCGAGAATGATAACCCATAGAAAGTCATGTTCCTGATAAGAACTCCCATTTTGACACGACAGTTTTTGCCCAAAAAAGTGTACACTATACATGCAAATTTATGGTAATGGTTAAAAGCATGAATGGTGGTATATTCATACTGTGATTTATATCAATTTCTCACTATATAATTCATTACTACTTCCCTTTCCCACGTAAATACATTCCATCATAACTTGCCTTTCCTACATAAATACACTTCATTATCACTTGTCCTTTCCTTAACAAGAGCTCACCTATTAATGACACATTTCATGTAAATACAAATTTTCCCCTTTTGCGCCCCGTCATAAGCCTGGAAAATAAAGCTCAGCATATTGCTGATATTAACGCTTGAAATGTTTATGATCAACTGCCCATTGGTATTTGTGATTCAGTCCTGCTTACAAAAACTTTCTTAAAACTTTTAATAAAAGAATTCACATCTTATTTCCTCTTTGGACCCAAAAAATATGAAAAAAGTTAATGATAATGCTTGAACCATTTGTGATCCAGAACTGCTTGCAAAATCATTTAAAGGAGGGACATCAGTGATATTGATGCACTGACACCTATGGAGCTGTGACTTCATTTTAAGCTCTCTGCTCTTCAAACAAGCAAGCTTTTGGTTATCACATGTTCACCTACAAATCTCACTGCAGTTCATAATCATGAATTTTGTCACAGTCATGTCAATTAATTTTTTAAACAGATTAATCAAGATTTAAAGCATTTTACCGTTAGACACATTTCACAAACATGCTTCATGACCATTCTATTCAGCAGAATATTCATAGAAGCAAACATACAGATATATCAATTATCCTTTTGTATTATGATATTTAAGTAATACTATGGTATTATAAAATCCAGGTGTTAACAGATGGCTTCCAACCTACCTTTTCATTGATAATACAATTGAGGTCATCGGTTTCCGGGGAACCTAAAACACCCAGTATGTGGTTGAGCTGGTCAAGGTCTGGTGACCCCAGTCAAGGTCATTTGATATCTCCTGATCACATTTGATTGTCAACAATTAATTCTATTAATATCAGAGGTAAAATCAAAAACAAAATTTTCGAAAGCTAAAACAACAGCCAATTTGCACTTATTGCTATGAAGAAAAAGCTATATCTAATTCTCTAAGATAATGAAAGAGGCTGACATCAGCCTCAAGATTTTCTTTCTATATTATTACTGAATAATAAAAAAAGAGATAGGAATAAAAACTGCATTATGCTCAAACAAATATCATGTTTTCTTGAACTTAACTATCCTTAGTACTTACTGTTACTGTATAACTATATTCTTGTTAACTCAGATTAATTCTGAAGAAAGCTGCATTTCTACTTAAAGCTTTACAGTGCAGATTCACAATTGTCTCCCTTGACTTTGATGTCATCTATAAAAAAAGGATACAGTGCTTTCCAGGGAAGAGTGGCCTGTTTACCAACATCTCGGCTAGTATACATCCCACCGACCATACATCAACTGGACTCGGTCAAGGAGAAATAATCTTGCACAATACAAAACAATCATGACAAACAGATATAATCTGACTAAACGCCCCCCAAAACATAATGTGGTGAACTCTATGTGTACTACTAGTCTGAGAGATTATTTGGTTAATTCTTCTGCCACTGGAAGTGCTAGTTGAAAAGACCATAGAAATAAATGAAGATTTCAACAAAACACTTCATAGCTTATTGTTTGAAGGAATAATCCTCAGTTTTTTTAATAAGCTGTGAAATCACAGATTTTCATTGGGATCAGTTTTCACAATTTAAAGGACAAAAATGTAAATATTTGATTTCATGAATAAATATAGCTCAATACATGTACTAATTTTATCAGTTCATAAATTCATGGACAAATATATTCCTGGATTAAGAGTACCCACACAATCATTGAAAATAAATTCCCTGCAAAAATAAAAAGATTTTACAGTAGTTTTTAACTGAAATGGATCTTAACAAAATTTAAAGCATCTACAATATGGTTCTGCTTTTTAAGGAATCTTCAGCACACACATTATACAACACATTTCTCATTGGTAAAGGATATTGGACTTGGTATAACCTTTGGAATTAAGCATGATTTCTGGCGCTCTGTACCATCTTGTGGCCACATATTCAGTGAGGAAACCTGTGTGATCATGTTCAGGGTCTGCAACTCTTGCCAATCCAAAATCACAAACCTGTAGAATAGAATGAGAAAAAAAGAGCAAATAAGTTAAGTGCTGTAAAACAGTCTTATGATTAAAGTATTAAGGTATAGGGAGGGTTGTTGTACCTGAATATAACAGTTGATGTTGGGGAATAGGGAGGATTGTTGTACCTGAATATCACAGGTGATGTTGGGGAATAGGGAGGATTGTTGTACCTGAATATCACAGGTGATGTTGAGGAATAGGGAGGGTTGTAGTACCTTAAGATCACAGATCGGAGTAGGGAGAGTTGTTGTTTTTCAAGATCACAAATGTTAGGATGAAGGAATGATTTAGGTACCTTAAGATCACTATCTTAAGATCACCAATGGTATTGAGGAGTAGGGAGAGATGTAGACCCTTAAGATCAAAGGGGTGTTTGGGAAGAAGGGAGGGTTGTGGTACCTTAAGATCACAGTTGCAGTTGGAGAGTAGGAAGATCCTAGGTGTATGGGGAAGTAGGGAGGGTTTTGGTATTGTAAGATCACTAGTTGTGTAAGGAGTAGAGAGGGTTGTGGTACCTTAAGATCACAGTTGCAGTAGGGGAGTAGGAAGATCCTAGGTGTATGGGGAAGAAGGGAGGGTTTTGGTATTGTAAGATCACTAGTTGTGTAAGGAGTAGAGAGGGTTGTGGTACCTTAAGATCATAGTTGCAGTTGGAAAGTAGGAAGATCCTAGGTGTATGGGGAAGAAGGGAGGGTTTTGGTATTGTAAGATCACTAGTTGTGTAAGGAGTAGAGAAGGTTGTGGTACCTTAAGATCACAGGTGGTGTTGAGGAGCAGATTGCTTGGTTTGAGATCTCGGTGAAGTACGTTGGCGGAGTGGATGTACTTGAGCCCGCGGAGAATTTGGTAAAGGAAGTAGCAGACATGGTCGTTACTAAGTTGCTGTGTCTTTAGCAGTTTGTACATGTCTGTCTCCATCAAACACTGTACTATGTATCTGGATAACCTGTTAAGGAAACTCACACACGACAAAACATCTATATTTTCAATCAATTAGAAGCAGCATATGTTCAGCTGGTGTCTAGTTAACCTTTTTATAATTATCAACAACCGACTTCATTGTCCTTTTGAGTCAGTGGTTATGTGTTGCCCCCTGACGTCTGAGTTAATGTGTTGTTCTCCTGAGGCCTGAGTTAATGTGTTGGTCTCCTGAGGAGTGAGTTAATGTGTTGGTCTCCTGAGGCCTGAGTTAATGTGTTGGTCTCCTCAGGTCTGAGTTAATGTGTTGTCTCCTGACGTCTGAGTTAATGTGTTGGTCTCCTGAGGCCTGAGTTAATGTGTTGGTCTCCTGATGTCTGAGTTAATGTGTTGGTCTCCTGAGGCCTGAGTTAATGTATTGGTCTCCTCAGGTCTGAGTTAATGTGTTGGTCTCCTGAGGCCTGAGTTAATGTGTTGGTCTCCTGATGTCTGAGTTAATGTGTTGGTCTCCTGAGGCCTGAGTTAATGTATTGGTCTCCTCAGGTCTGAGTTAATGTGTTGGTCTCCTCAGGTCTGAGTTAATGTGTTTGTCTCCGGAGGTCTGTGTTAATGTGTTGGTCTCCTGAGGCCTGAGTTAATGTGTTGGTCTCCTCAGGTCTGAGTTAATGTGTTGGTCTCCTCAGGCCTGAGTTAATGTGTTGGTCTCCTGAGGCCTCAGTTAATGTGTTGGTCCCCTGAAGTCCTGTAATAAGCCCACCCCCTCACTTGAGTCAGAGGCAATGTGTTGGTACCATGAAGTCCTGTGATAAGCCCACTCCCTGACTTGAGTCAGAGGCAATGTGTTGGTACCGTGAGGTTTTGTAATATGCCCATCCCATGACTTGAGTCAGGAATTATATGTTGGTCACTTGAGGTCCTGTGATAAGCCCACCCCCTGACTTTGAGTCAGTGGTAATGTGTTGGCCTCCTGAGGTCCTGTAATATGCCCATCAGATATTTGAGTTAGTGGTTGCTGTCTCCCTGAGGTCTTGTGATAAGCCCACTCCCTGACTTTGAGTCAGAGGCTATTGTTTGCCCCAAGGGCCTATTGCAGAATGAGTGTATGTGAGAGTGTTTGTGTATATTATTATACAACACCTATCAAGAATGACAACAGATGAATTACGCTCTGTATCCTTTTAGAGTACATGCCATTAAACAAAGCTGAAACTCTCTAAACATTAAATAATTACATTTACATCAATATCACGTAAACTTGTTTTCTTCCTGAGAAATTAACTGAAGTATTCCTTTCTATCAAAATATTTAAGCTAAATTTAACTTCAGTAAGATATGAAAGCATTCTTGGTGCAAGTCATCTATGTAGATCAGTGGTTACACTCTACTGCCATGACACCTGTTAACACACGACTAAAAACCTCAAACATTTCATTATTTCCAGCCTTATGTGCCAAAATGTAGCAGTTGTGCCAAATTTTAAACACAGAATTCTGCAAAATCTTACAAGAGAAAATAAACAGATTGTGTAACATGATGGGGACTTTTTTCGTTGAACACAGCTCACAGCTTGTAACCTTATCAAATTGTTGTTAAAGTGGATTTTTGCAGAAATTTTGTGTCTGGTAGTCTATAAAATGTCTGCCTATGAATGGGAAAAATCCTGTCCATCATCAACACTGTATCGTGTGGGATAAATCACTTCCACAAAAAAAAGTCACCAGCAACATGTACAATTAGATTACCTGCTACCAGGCCTGGGTCTGCCACAACTACGCTCCTGATGGACCTGTGGTGTTGGGAGATATTTAATTATCCAACCAGTAGAAATGTGTGTATAAATAAGCTTTAAATATTGTACAGTTACAGATGTAAAAAAAGCTGGTATTTTTTAAAATGATCTTATTCTACCTTCTTCAGGTGATATAACAATGTGAAATACAACGTAATAGGTACATATCTCCTGATAAAACATACTACATGTTGCAACCTCATCTAATAAGCCCCTTCATAATCTACTGCTGTATACTCTGTGACTTTTCTTAGTTACGTCTAGCTTTTAATCTATCTAGGGGCACCTGTCAGACACTTACCTTCCAACAGAACATTTAATGATAATACCTATTCCTATAATACCCTCAACAGGATAAACTCTAATACAAATAACCTTTCAAAGATAAAATACAAAACCAAGATGCCCATGGGGTCTGTATCACTCACTTGACTAATTCAGCTGTTCAGTCAGCCATATGGTCAACTGACAGTCTGATCCACTAGCCTCACAATCCTGGTTTACACAGAATTGGGTTCCTTTGGCACCAAGACACCTACACAAAATTCATACCCTTCAGCCAAGGGTAATTCAGACCAAAATGAAACAGAATCCAGAATTATAAAAAAAGGACAACCTGAAACTTCATTTCCTCTATTGAGCCCTACCCCATCAACAAAAGAGAGATAGGACCCACTACTTAACCAGAATTGGTTCCCCATCTGCCAAGAATGCTTCCAGCCACAGAATACTGTAATTCCTATGGAAAAAGAAGAATTTTAGTAAAGATGCAATTTTTTTCTTTATTGACCCTGTCCTAAAATGCCCCAGGTGACCCAAAACAATAATTTATACAAAATAATTCCTGTTCACCCAAGAAGGTGTTTCTGCAGAAGAAGAAGGATTTTAAAAAAGATGCTCTATTTCCCATATTGGGACCCCTCAGATCGTTCCAATAGGAAGGCCAAGCATTTATATAAATTCTGTTCGGCTTCTCCATGGATGCTTCAGACCAGATTGGTCAAAATATGCATGGTAATTTATGACTTGAAGCGATTTTTAGGGAAAAAGATGACTGATGATGCATGGTATGGTATAAGCTCACCTGTCATTTGGACCTAGTAAGCTTATAATCCACAACAATATTCAACACGTGATGCATCACCTTCCCCTTTACCAGAACCACATCCCACACTGCATACATGATCCCTTCTTAAATCAATTTAAGGCTTAGCGGCCTTGATGGTCATCTGAGATAAGCAATATTGAATATAACGTATAAAGGGTAGCTTTCAAGTGTCATGAAATAGAAAATGTGACAATGGTGATAGCAAGGCAGTGTCCATGCATACCATCAAAACTGTCATCCTATACCAACAATACATACAAAGTTATTTCAAGTTATTTCAAGTGGGAAATAAACAACTTTATACTCAAAAAATGCAAGTTTACTTCCTTCCCAGAAAGAAATGTGAGACCCATTATAGTAATTAAAACACCTTCAGGTGCTTCCTCTCATACAGAGCATTTGATTCTATTGTACCTGGTTGTTGAGAATATTTTTTAAATTTATGCTAATTTGACCCCTTTTGGTCCCTCCCACCGACCCCTTGGGGTCAATCAGGATCAATATATGCATATCATCAAGCCGTCATCCTTCACTCATAATTCTACCCAGGTTTTAAATATTCCCAATGGAAATTGAAATTATGCTCAAAAATTCATTTATCTATATAAACTATAGTAAACTTTACCCCCTCCCCCAGGGGAAAGGTGAGACCATGAAATTCACAATTTCGGTATGGCACCTTAAAAGGCTTCCATCCATGAAGAGTAACTGATTCTATCATATCTGGATGTTGAGAAGAAGTCACCATGAGATTTTGACTAAGGTGATTTAATAAAATTCAAAATTCAATAACGTTATGATACCTTAATGTCCTCCAAACTTGTCACCTTGCATTTAAAATCATTCCTGTGAATGAACTCAAAAATGCTATCTTAAACACCTTTTCCTTCTATAATTCATTTTACAACCACTGCTAGATCCAAACTGACCTTAGAACCAAACATATGTCCAAGAACAGTTCTACATTAACACGTTTATATCAGCTTACACAGATGTATTGAAATGTTATAATCGTGATCTGATATCAGGAAGTTGTACATCAATTAACCTTAACATTTTCCGGGATATCAGCATGGTTCAATTAGCACCTGTCAAGTTACATTCTCCTAAATTCCAATCTGATACAGGCGATAATGGCCAATCTAATGATGCTGTTATTCATAATCAACAACAAGTAAAAATGAAGGTGTATGATCATACTTACTTCAGCATGTATAAATAGATCCAGCCACGCTCTAGGTATAAGTCGGAGACACCATGATTTAACACTACGAAACAATGGACTTTTTATTGATTTTTGAAATGATGAGATCACTAAATATCACAAAGACACTGTCTATACAGCTGATTATAAGAATCTATCTAATATAAACTCATTCATTTTCCTGGGCATTTTATTTTCACTGAGTTTGTGGTAACCCTTTATCCATATGTCCATGAAATGATAGCATGATAAGAATTGTACAAGTGGATTTAGTAAGACGTATCCAGAAAATGAAGATACAATGAAAATGCAGATTTTTGTAAAACCATAAAATTTGAGCTCCACAAAAAATAGAACACTTTACAATATCAAGAATATCTTATGTACGTAAATCAACGATCATACAGAACCTCTATAGATTAGCAGGTACAGTGAAGTGATATTTTAATTTAAGCTAACTATATCAGGAAAAGACTAAGGGGACCTGAAAGAGCACCAAAGCTACAGAGATATCCGCTACTTTGCAATTCTCATCCACCCAGCAATTGATTTACTCTTAATTTGTTTCAGCGATAGGAAATGGTAAATCCCCAAACTGTTTCAGATGATTATTGACATTCCAGACAAAATAATATCACGACAACCATTAAGGTAGGTTCCGTGTAGTTGCCCCTGACAACGAGACTTGAGAAGCTAGAGATACTTATATATAGACAGGTCTGCATGTCCGTTAGCTGTTTTTCCCTCGCCAATCAAACTTGTTTAAAAGACAAACTATACCTAAATTTGACAGAGAATGATCTGTTTTAATATAGCTTAAATCCCCTGGTCGGTTCCCCTCCCCCTCATCCCAATGAAGTAAAACATGATTAAATATGGCTACCAGCAGATGACAAAACCAATAAAATGTCAATGATTTTCTATATATAAACACTAGGCTTCAGGCTACAGGAGAAGTAAACAATTTCATGATAAAATGGCATTATAAATTGTAAAGAATCATTTATAAAATAAATGAAAAGATTTTTTTTCAAACAGGCATACTTTAAAACAGAAAAATTGTAGAATCTGAACAACAGTACACAAGGACTGCTAGAGACAGTTTGAAAAACAACAAAAGACAACAAGAGAGTTATGATTCTTGTGCACTGCCCTCCTTCTTGTTGCGATCTATCTACCTATGAAGTTTCATATAGATATATCTTAAATGTAATGATCCAGACAAAATTTAAATAAGAAATATAACAAAGGGCAATAACTCCTAAATCATGCAAAAGAAAGAGGCTTCTTGTGCACTACACGTTTTCATGAGATCATTCTATCTAAGAAGTTTCATGTTTATACCTCTTATAGTTTCAGCGTAATGCTCTGGAAAACATTTAAGTAAGAAAAATAACAAAGGCCAAATACTCCTAAATCATGCAAAATAATGTAGTTACCTCTTTATGGTTTCGTGTTATGCTCCAGACAAAATTATGAGGGAGGGAGGGACAAACAGATAGACTGACAATGGGACAAATGGACGGACAAAGCAGCAACTATATGCTCTCAATTTGGGGAGTATAAAAATAGTTGGAGGAATGATGGTAATTATCTAATACAAGCAAACTTCGATCCTGGTACAAAAAATCACTTAGTTAAACATGACACTCTATCTCTGACATAAGACCACAGAAATGAAGTAAGTTTTAAAACTGACGTATTTGGTGTCATTATAAACTGAATCTTCGGTAGAAGCGCTTTTCTCATATATATGAACTAATAATGGTTTGAAGGCAATTACAATCCACTACTTTATAGCCCTTCTGCATTGTGGGTTGCATAGAACAATCTACCCCTTTAAGAATGATTTTCCATCAAACAATTTCCCAGCTGTGTAAAAATATGAGACAAAGACTTATTACATCATGATTTTCAAATAAAGAGAGAAATCTTTAGGCTTTACTGAAAATAATTTTTGCTGATATGCAGATTCTACTGCCATGCTGTGTCCACAGAATAAATAAATTATAAGTGTGACAAGCCTAATCATACCTTTATATAACTACGACAACACCAATCACTTTTACAGTACCCTTGAAACAACCTTGTGGTGAGATTATTATTACACTAGCGTTCTCTTCCTTTCCTGGTAACAAAACACAGAGTTTAAGGATGAAAGAGACGACTTCCTATAGGAATAAAATCGGCAAGATAGAGAACAACTTCAAACCGTATGTTATACCAGTGAGGTTAAAGTGATGTACTTGAGAGATTTTAAGTAAGTTATATACAATAACTTCGACAGGATGTGGCCACTAATAAATCACTTTACATGGTCTTCATGCTGCATTTTGTTAAAACAATAACCAAAACACTGACAGGCTTGTATAATTGGCCAAGTTCTGCCAGTAAAATACATTACAGTGGACCTTCAATTGCCTGTACATCCCCATTCATCACTAATTTGATTGAGCATATCACTTATTAATCAGGTCTTTGCTTGATCAGATCATTGATTGATTGGGTTATTGATTAATCAAATCATCTAGATTGATTTGGTCATTGATTGATCAGATCATCTAGATTGATTGGGTTATTGATTAATCAAATCATCTAGATTGATTGGGTTATTGATTAAACAGATCATTGATTGATTTGGTCATTGACTGGTCGGATCATCTAGATTGAATGGGCTATTGATTAATCAAATCATCTAGATTGATTGGGTTATTGATTCAAATCATCTAGATTGATTGGGTTATTGATCATCTAGATTGATTGGGTTATTGATTGATCAGATCATCTAGATTGATTGGGTTATTGGGACTATTGATTAATCAAATCATCTAGATTGATTTGGTCATTGATTAATCAAATCATCTAGATTGATTGGGTTATTGATTAATCAAATCATCTAGATTGATTGGGTTATTGATTGATCAGTAGATTGATTGGGTTATTGATAATCAAATCATCTAGATTGATTGGGTTAAATCATCTAGATTGATTGGGTTATTGATTGATCAGATCACCTAGATTGATTGGGTTATTGATTGATCAGATCATCTAGATTGATTGGGCTATTGATTGATCAAATCATCTAGATTGATTGGGTTATTGATTAATCAAATCATCTAGATTGATTGGGTTATTGATTGATCAGATCATCTAGATTGATTGGGTTATTGATTAATCAAATCATCTAGATTGATTGGGTTATTGATTGATCAGATCATCTAGATTGATTGGGTTATTGATTGATCAGACTATTGATTAATCAAATCATCTAGATTGATTGGGTTATTGATTGATCAGACTATTGATTAATCAAATCATCTAGATTGATTGGGTTATTGATTGATCAGACTATTGATTAATCAGATCATCTAGATTGATTGGGTTATTGATTGATCAGATCATCTAGATTGATTGGGTTATTGATTGATCAGACTATTGATTAATCAAATCATCTAGATTGATTGGGTTATTGATTGATCAGATCATCTAGATTGATTGGGTTATTGATTGATCAGATCATCTAGATTGATTGGGTTATTGATTGATCAGATCATCTAGATTGATTGGGTTATTGATTGATCAGATCATTGATTGATCAGATCATTGATTGATTTGGTCATTGATATATCAATAGTTATATCAGTTATTATAAATATACTTGTAAAAGAAACAACCATTGCGAATTTGATTGTGCATGGATTTTGTTTTTCTTTGAAGGAGAGCATGATAGAAATATTTTATCTTCTTCGTTATTAGAGCTTTTTCTTTGTATTGATTCCTCAGTGATAAATGAGAGACTCCTTAATGTGTTTCAAAATATTTTTTCTGATCGCTTATGTATGAGTTTGGTCCTTCCTGTGAATGACGTCTTTTTCTTTACAGTACATATCCAATTTTTAGAAGCTGGAAGTCCTCCGTAACATAAAGTTAACACTCATAAAAACATGTGTGTGTCGAATGAAAGTTTGAAAATATCTGTAAACCAACTTTCTCTGCAAGAGAAAATTAACTAATTGCACTGTCAAAGCAATACTTTTATATTTTGTCTTTAAATCTATGCAAAATACTAATGTAATACTACAACTGTATCTCACACATTAGTCATTGGAAAATAACGACTATACCTAGGTTGATCCTTTAGTCCCTTGCCTTTAAATTTATGCCTCATTCCAAGCTATAATGACAACAATCACAGGAGATCTAAAAATGAATATCACCCAACACTTCCAGGTAAAATTATACACATGCACACCAATTAACCTTCCTTTCAAGGTCACACCATATAAAAATCAAACAAAATTACACAGAGTCATTTGAAAACCTGCCTTTTCTGTACTTTGTAAATTTTTTTCCATATTAAATACATAACCATGTCTTTGATAGTGGTGTTGCAAGGTCCAAAGATACGGGCACAGGTACCATATCTCCAGGCAAGTTGTTATACAAAGGATACACATCTTTCATGGATTCTAAATTATCTTGGTGGAGTATGTTTTGAATGTTGATTACCTGAAATAAATCAAAAGATCAGTTAGAAAAGTCAATAACATATCAACAAGCATATACAATCAAACCTGCATTAGCAACCATCTGAATAAAACAATTTCCTATCTAATGTGACCAGAACTTTTCCTCTCTGTAAGAAATTTACCATACAAATGACTATGAATAAGAAACCATCTGTCGAACGTGACTGTCAACCATCATTTCTGTGTGCCAAAAACCAAAAACTACCTCTGTCAGCAACTTTCTTGCTTTTTCTCAATAAATGTCTATATCATTTTGCTACATGAAATGCTAGGATGATCATGTGACAATCACATCTCCTGTAAGTTAGAAGAACCACCCCGTTTAGTCTATTGACAAATGAAATAACCTAATTTTCCAGTTCAACTTTATAACCCTAAACTGGTACCTCTGTAAGTGTATTGATCTGTGTGAAAATATCAGATGTTGTGAGCAAATCACTACAAAAGTGTAAATATCATATTGGTGTGAAGATCAAGCTATTTTCGGCACCATACTCTAGAACACTGAGCATGAGGTGTCAAACGGAGTTTATGACAGAATAACAGGCATCATGTGGTTATTGAAGCACATCACTTGCTGGATAGGAGCGAGTTCTGGCCTAACATACCATGCTTCTACAAGTATATCAGAATTGTGGAATATTCACAAAGTTTTGACCTGCTTCATAACAAATTGATAGAAAATGGATGTTAAACAAATCCATTGCCAGTGTACTTTTTTTTCTCATTTGAATTGTTTGGGCTTAAATCTTACTAATGTTATTAGCACTGATCGTGAAGGTTTTGGCTTATTACAACTGGCACATGAAGACATGAACCTCTATTGTTTACTTACAATGAGAGATAAATGTTACATGTACCAGAACTTAGCATTGGCTACCTCAGAGTGCTTCAGACAATAATTAGAGGAAAATTTATGTCACAAGGAACACCCTAGAAGTCAAATATCCTTATTAACACTTGAGGTTACAGCTTGTGAAATCAATTCTGGGTAGAAAGAACAATCATAACATACTGAACTTCAAGATTAAATATATCACAATATTTAACATGAGTCTACTTTCACTTTCTCTTTCTCTCTCATTGAAACTGTATTAAGAAACCAGCTGTCATATGTGACCTTATTCATTGCTTCCCTCAGAAGGTCACATTATCAAAACATCAACATGTGTATCGAAGCGAGTCCCTTATCTGGTGAAGCAGAGCAACATTCATATCTCATACATCTTGAGTGACAAGTCATTAAAAAAAGTGTAATATAGAAGCATTAATTTTCATATCAATCCACACATAAATATGTCCATGAAATGTTAAAATCAATATAGAGATTTATTAATCAATATCTCTCCAGGAAGTCAACTGTCAACAGGATAATTATATTCTTTTTAAAAAAATCATGAAATTTGAGCCCATGAAAAAACAATTTTTTTTTTCAGTACATGAGAATTTCAAGAATCATCTGTCTTTTGTGTATAACTTATAGCTGAAAAGAATCAAGAATTATCAACAATACTTATGAAGTATTTAAAGAGATAAAATGTTTAAAGGCCAGTCACCAGGAACACAGAAGGATGAAAAAGCTTTAGGCTTGGTAATGGAATAAATGGAATGGCAATGAGCTACGAAAGTCAAGCAGACCTATCTCCAGAAGCTTGTAGTCACAACAGGATTACTCTAGCTATCTATATATAGTTATCATCCTTTTCTCATTAATATTCACGGTTAAACAAATCTAGATTCACTTGTCAAAACATCCTCACTATAACTCTAATCCATATCTATTCCCATCAGAAAGATTAAAGTGAAGCTTTTAGAAAATCTGTTTCCATATTTAGTAATTATATGATTTTTTCAAGTGTAAAGGACCAACAAAATGTGTTTCTGCTAAATGCTGAAGAGCAAATAAAACATCAAACATCCTTTACCGAGTATTAAAGGCCCAATCAAACATCCTTTACCGAGTATTAAAGGCCCAATCAAACATCCTTTACCGAGTATTAAAGGCCCAATCAAACATCCCTTACCGAGTATTAAAGGCCCAATCAAACATCCCTTACCGAGTATTAAAGGCCCAATCAAACATCCTTTACCGAGTATTAAAGGCCCAATCAAACATCCCTTAAAGGGCCAATCAAACATCCTTTCAAACATCAAGTATTAAAGGCCCAATCAAACATCCAGTATTAAAGGCCCAATCAAACATCAAACATCCTTTACTAAGTATTAAAGGCCAAATCAAACATCCTTTCAAACATCCTTTAAGTATTAAAGGCCAAATCAAACATCCTTTACCTAGTTATCAAACATCCTTTGCCATCAAACATCCTTTATCAAGTATTAAAGGGCCAATCAAACATCCTTTACCAAGTATTAAAGGGCCAATCAAACATCCTTTACTAAGTATTAAAGGCCAAATCAAACATCCTTTTCTAAGTATTAAAGGCCAAATCAAACATCCTTTACCTAGTTATAATGGGCCAATCAAACATCCTTTACTGAGTATTAAAGGACCAATCAAACAACTTTAACCTAGTAGTAATGGGCCAATCAAAAATCCCTTACCTAGTTATAATGGGCCAATCAAATAACTTTTACCTAGTACTTCAGGACCAATCAAATATCCTATTACTTCGTACTAGAGAACCATTACGATACCTTAGAACACAAGTGCTCTATATGATCAAGACATCTGCATACAATACACAGAACTGTGTAAAAAAAAATAGAAAGTGTCAAGTAGCATTATGTCAAATTGAATTTTTGTCTGCTGAGCATGAGTAAACCTTTAGGAGAATGTGATACAATGATTGATGCCTGTCAAGATCATTATGCCCTCAGATGGGTTGATCTTGGTTTAATATATTGATTCCCCAAATACAGCCTCTCAGAACCAGCCGCTCTAAAAGAAGCTAGCTCACTAATTAACATTTAGAGATCTGATTCCATTTAGGAGACACCTTTGAAATGTCAACAACCTACTTTTCAGCCTGTAAGTGATTTTAAAGTAAAAAGTCATATGATGTAAGTGTAAAGAATTTTGATCCAACAGGTTTGTTTCCGTTGACTTTGTACACAATGATGCAAGGAATAAGCACAAATAGATGTTGCATCACCACATCTTAAACTGCAGACTAGAGCATAGAAAATGCTGACACAACTGGGAATGAAAAGGAATCTTTCATAACTGGTGATTTCTAAGAAAGGGTGATCACTCATGACACAAGATCTATCAGGAGGACTTATCATGATCTTGATCTCCCATGACAGACGAACTCTGTCTCGAATGACCACTGATCACTCACCAGATGGTCGATAACTAGTTGATCTCTCATGATGGTTGTCTCTGATGTAAGGCCGGTAACTCATGACCTCTCAAGATATGTGGTCTTTAATGAAAGTTGGTCTCTAATGAATATTTCTCATGACAGGTAATCGCTCATGACAGGTGATCGCTCGCTAATGACAGGTGATCTCTAATGAAAAGTGACCTCTTATGACAGGTGATCTCTCATGACAGGTGATCTCTAATGAAAAGTGACCTCTTATGACAGGTGATCTCTCATGACAGGTGATCGCTAATGACAGGTGATCTCTCATGACAGGTGATCTCTCATGACAGGTGATCGCTAATGACAGGTGATCGCTCATGACAGGTGATCGCTAATGACAGGTGATCTCTAATGAAAAGTGACCTCTTATGACAGGTGATCTCTCATGACAGGTGATCTCTCATGACAGGTGATCGCTAATGACAGGTGATCTCTAATGAAAAGTGACCTCTTATGACAGGTGATCTCTCATGACAGGTGATCTCTCATGACAGGTGATCGCTAATGACAGGTGATCTCTAATGAAAAGTGACCTCTTATGACAGGTGATCTCTCATGACAGGTGATCTCTCATGACAGGTGATCTCTAATGACAGGTGATCTCTAATGAAAAGTGACCTCTTATGACAGGTGATCGCTCATGACAGGTGATCTCTAATGAAAAGTGACCTCTTATGACAGGTGATCTCTCATGACAGGTGATCTCTCATGACAGGTGATCGCTAATGACAGGTGATCTCTAATGAAAAGTGACCTCTTATGACAGGTGATCGCTCATGACAGGTGATCTCTCATGACAGGTGATCGCTCATGACAGGTGATCTCTAATGACAGGTGATCTCTAATGACAGGTGATCTCTAATGAAAAGTGACCTCTCATGACAGGTGATCTCTCATGACAGGTGATCTCTAATGACAGGTGATCTCTAATGAAAAGTGACCTCTCATGACAGGTGATCGCTCATGACAGGTGATCTCTAATGACAGGTGATCTCTAATGACAGGTGATCTCTAATGAAAAGTGACCTCTCATGACAGGTGATCTCTCATGACAGGTGATCTCTAATGAAAAGTGACCTCTTATGACAGGTGATCGCTAATGACAGGTGATCTCTAATGAAAAGTGACCTCTCATGACAGGTGATCTCTCATGACAGGTGATCTCTAATGACAGGTGACCTCTTATGACAGTTGACCTCTCGTCAGGTGGTCTCTCATGAAAAGTGAAGTCTATGGACTTTTTTTCTCTCAGGATAGTTGATCTATAATGACGGGTGATTTTTCTGACAGGTGATCTCTTATGACCAATAATTTCTAATATCACAGTTGGTTTCTAATCACGGGTTGCTTCCCATGACAGGCAGTCTCTTATCACAAGTGGCTTCTAATACGAAAAAATATGGCAGGTGAGTTTTTAATGGAAGATGATTTATCATGACAGACGATCTCCAATGACAGGTCTTTTATAACATTATAATCTCCAGTGATAGCAGGTCTCTTTTGACAGATGGAAACAGGAAGTTCAAAAACAAACGATTATAAGAAATATTTTATTTCAAACCAGATCCTTCAGAATGGTAAACTAACAGAAAAAAAGATGACACAAAAAAATTTCATTCAACATACTGAACTCTAAGGAGCATTGTTTATG